CAAAGTTGAACAGTTAATATTTGGGCATCTCAATGCATGTGAAATTTACCTTAAAAAATAATTGAGTGGGAGGTAAAGAGTGGGTGAGGGTACAGATTAAACAAAAGGGTAGGATGTTGATCCCTTGTGCATATCGCATATCAAATCTGAGTCCTTTGTGAAAAGATCCTCATTATACTATTCTGTTTACTTTGCAAATGTTTGAAATTTTCTAAAGTTTTGTTAAACTGGCAAAAGTGAGTTAAAGATAAATATGCACTGAATTCTAAATGTAATAATATTTTTTAACTATAATCATATGAGAATTGGTATAACCACACAGTTTTTGCTAGGCAGAAAATTGAGTGCTCAACACTTAGGAGACAGTTGTTTTGTTCCTCTGTGCCCTTGGGAGAAGAAGGAAGGGCAGAGTGAAGAATGAAACAGGAGAATCTTAGTCTGCAGCAATCAGACCATGCTATTTCAACTATTCAACTTCTCCTTCTCAAGAGGTTAGAAATATCCAGCCGAGATATAACCAAACTTATTTATGTGTTCATCAAACTCACTTCAGAGCAATACCCTGTGTGTATAATTAATAAATGTTAATTTATGTTGATGATAATGTTGCACTTGAATTTTTTAACTTTTTACTGAATTTAAAATATTTGAGAAGCTAAGGCCAAGCATTCTGCTAATAACCTGCATTTTTCTCTCATTATTTTCTTTCTTCTTTCCCTCCCCAGATGATTTCTACTTCTAACTTTTGCAATGCAAGTGTTAGAGTCCCCAAGAGCAGAATTTGGTTCTATAGAAATTACCAAGTAGAATATCTGGGATTTTACTGAACAATATTGTTCATTCAACAGGTACCAAGATTAAAAGGGGGAAAAAATCACGTGACACCCTAAATGGCAAGTGGCAGCTTCTCTGGGTATGAACTGCATTCATACTGCCTCATATCCAAGGTGGTAAATAAGAGGGGGAAAAATCACACTAAGCCAAGAAAACTCTCCTGACATAATGCTTCACAGTCCCAGAGCAAAGGTCAAAGCTATATGCACTCTCCAAATCTGGATCTGTAGGGTCAAAGCCAGAGAAGGAGGCCACCTATTAGTAGGAGCCCTGAGGAGCTTCATAAGAGTCAAGGTGGCTAGACTCAGAATTCCCTGTGGGAACTACAGCACCCCTCATCCTCCCAATCACTGCATGAGGAGGGAATCAATCTGAGGGAAAAGATAGAGATTGCATTCATTCAATAAACTTTCATTACGAACTTACTGTCTATTATGTACTGATGTAGGCACTAGGGAGACAGGGGTGACTAACACAGACGGGGTCTTTGTCGCTGTGGGGAACAGCTGCACCAAGGAGGAAATGCAAGGTGACATGGCGATATGCACAAGGGATCCTCCTGCCTAGCACTCACTCAACCCAGGCTGGAGGCTCAAGAGAAAATTTCCAGAGGAAGTAACATTTAAACTGAGACCTGGAGTAGGAAGAGAAGATAGCCAATGGCATGGGGAAGGAGACATCCAGACAAGAGGGGACCATGTTCGTGAAGCCTGTAGAATGGTATGGGGTGGTGGGAGGAGGGTTACGGGAAGGGACAATGTTGAACAAAGTACCTAGTTCCCAAGGAAACTTGTACCCAATTCCCAAGGAGAGGAGAAGCGATATGGCCTGAGTGCCAAATCAAAAACTTAAACTTAGTGGGGAAAGGGTGAAATGTTCTGTAAATGGTTTAGGGAAAATTGGTAGATATCGGGGGAAAAAATTAGGTTAAATCTCTAACTTATTCCTATACTAAATTAAAACCCAGACATATCAAAGATGTTAATGGAAAAGAAAGCCACTGATAGCCCAGGTGACAGAGCAGGACCCTGCCTCAGAAAAAGAAAGGAGTGCCATTAAAAATGCTAGAATAAGGGAGGAAATTTTTTAATAATCTTAGAATGGGAAAAGTCTAAAGTAACACAAAAATCAAGAAGCCATAAAAGATAATATTGTCATCTGCATTTTTTACTTTTCAAAAAAATAAAAAACAAAAATATTTTCAACAGTTCATGAAAAACGTGCTATTATTCATAACAAAATGATGACACATAAATTTTTTCACATCTACATAAAAAACAACTTCATAGAAAAATGAGTAAATAAAGTGAATAGAAAACACAGAGATGCCCATAAGCATAAGACTTGTGTGAATCTACTTATAACAGAAATGTAAACTATGACGTACTATTTTCTCCTATCAGATTTACAAGGATAAAAAACATGGTAACATACTCTCATACGTTGTTAATGAGGGCATAACCAATTATACCCTCTAAATAAAGTAATTTGATAGATGGTATTTAAATACACAATTCTTGATATGGAAAGATCTCCATGATGTATTGTTAATTGAAAACAGCATGGCTTTTAATAGGGAAAGGGGGAGCGGAGGGAGACGATTTCTAAGTGTCTAGAATATCTCTGGAAGTAAACACAATGAACTAGAACGAGGAGTTTCCTCCAGGAGAGGAGAGTCAGGTACAGGAGTATACTGGTATTGTATACTTTTCTGCCTTTTGAATTTTGTAATTGGGCATGTATTACCTCAAAAATTAAATGCACATTCAATTATTATTGTTCATAATTTCTTCAAAATTACCATGTCAATATAATCAATGAATCTTTGTTCTAAGTATTAGCACATAGTGCAATGTTAACCTAGGTTTGGTTGAATATATAATAAATTTATTTTCATCATTTCAGTTTCATTTTTCAAGCTCTAGCCCCAACCATGCCTTTTTTTTTTTTTTTTTACTGCCTCTCATCCTACTACAAAGCCGTGGTTCCCATTTTAAATGAATTCTTTTTCCGTGGCCTTTCTATTAACCCTAGTTCTGTGATTAGGAGGGCTCCCAAATACCAATATCCAAAGTTACGGTGCATGCTTATTTCACCACAGTCTTAAAAGTAATGAGTGCAAACCTTGTTTGTTTGTTTGGTTGGTTGGTTTTTATTGTGGCACCATGCAGATAACATAAAATGTACTATCTTAAGAGCCTGCACCGGCTTCTCTCGCCCCACGTGGGTTTGGGCTGGGGACTCGCGCGGGGTGCCGCTGCGATGGAGAAGACTGCCGCGTCTAGAGTGCGCAGGTCTTCCGTGGCCGCGAGGGCGTCCCCACGGTGGGCCCCCGCTACCCCCCTGAACCCGCTCAGTTGGTGCCTTGGAAGGCTCCAGTCCAGCAGGCAGGCAGGGAGGGAGCGGTCTCTGGAACCCGGGCGAGGGGAGGATGCAAAGTGAATATGTTGCGGGGTGGAGCTGGGGTGGGGATGCGGGGCGAAGCCGAGAGACGCGTCCCAGGCCCGGCGTCTTAGACCCTTAGAGTTGTGTCTGAGCGCGGTAGTGCTCACTTGCCGCCCTGCCACTCTTTGCCTCGTGCCTGACTTCTCCTTAGGGGTAGAGGTGGGGGTGGGCACCCCGCATCTGGGAGTTCGGCAAAACCTTTGAGAGCGCTGTCCCCACACACCTGTGTCACCTCTGGCCTGTGTGGCCTCTGAATGGGCTCAGTCACTTCTTCCTCAGCGTCCGTTCATCGCCGATCAGTAACCCCTTCCTGCGCCAAATCCTGCCTCTGCGTCCCCCCATCCCCATTCCCGCCAGGGCACTGAAGCTGTTTTGTTGTTTTTATTAAAAATTGAGTAGTTACAAAAGTATTTATAAAACATATTTAAGTCTAAAGATAGGCAGTATAAGGAACTGTCCTTTACCCATTATGTAGTTTGAGAAATCAAACATAGCCTTTGAAAGCCTCTGTGTTCTCTTTGACCCCGTAACCTTCGGGAACCCCTCAGAGGTAAACAGTATCTAAATTTTGTGTTTATAATTCCATTATTTTTCTTTATAGTTACTACATACCTTTGTATTCCAAAACAGTATGTTGTTTCTTCACGGTTTTTTTCACTTAATCATTATGTTCTTGAGACTCATTCTTGAACTGGAACATGTTTTAAATATTCATTATTCAGTTATTTAGTAAAAACAATCGAAAATGTTTATAATCTGGCAAAAAGTTATGACACCCTGGCTACAAATATAACCTCTTGGTTCCTTTCTTTCTCTTTTGTTTTTTTCCTTTTCGTTTTATGCCAGTCATTTTTGTCTGTCTTGTCTATCTACAAGCCTTCAACAAACCCATAGTTCCAAAACAGTTACATCAGGCAGATTCTGCTAGTGTGTAATTGTTGCCTAAGAGGGGAGACAGATTTCTGGTGCTTCCTTCTCCACCATCTTCCCAGAATCCTCAGACCTTGTTTTAATATATAATAAGTTATTAGGCTTGAAGTGTTACTTTATAATTTATATTTAATCAAATTTTTACTCAAAAGAAAGAATCCTGCTAATTTCATTGTCTTTAAACCTCTAATCAGCTACATGTACACATAGGCATCACCATCTCCCAGTATAGACACAGGCCAAGTGACATTTGCCAGGAGCAGGTCAAAGATGCAGCCACTAGAGGCATGAGGAAGATGCAGGTGATGCCTGTTAAGGGGTATAGATAACATGACCATGTTTCCTGAATCCAAAATTCAGGCACAGGGCATGACAAAAAATTTGAGAATGATTATATGAAAAATCTTCTAAATATATAAAAATTAAATTAGATTGTACTTTGAATCTAATGTGCTGCTTTTTATTTTAAAATCTAATCAGGACTGTCTCCAGAAAATTGGGCCATATGGTTCCCACATATATGTTGAACAAAGAACAGGGAAGAGGATGGCACTGACCACTGAATGAATTATGCCCACCTTTCATCACGACAGCATCTCGATAAATGTGCTATAATGAGATCAGTACATTTTTCTTTACATTTAATGTAAATACCAACAATGGTCACCCATCAACATCATATAAGGGCACACTTCACAGGTTTCATAATCAAATTTTAAAACAATCACATATAATAAAAAAACAAATCACAGTAATAAAAATAAAACACAAAAAAATATAAGTACACTCTAAAAAATATAAAAATGTAATTTATTTATCTTATTTACCAAATGGTTAGCTATAAAGATACAATTTTTGCCTTGGAGTTTAAGGCAGTTTCACTTTTTGCCACAGTTACTTTTTCTGGTCATATGCTAGAATCACAAACTTCTGTGTTTTATCTGTAATTGATCATTTATGGTTTATGTTTGTTCACTTGAGAACCATATTTTTTTCTTCATGATCATTGAAGCTCTGTAATATAAAATGTCATTGTCTTCATATATTTGAATAATACCGATCACGGTTTTGAAAGTCTCTATGAGCATATTTTGCATAAGTCTTATTATGTGGGATCCTTCCAAAAGGTTCATGGTCATTGAAACAAGATTCAAAAACTTCATCAACAGCCTTCTGAGCTACTTCTTTGCTGATATTCCTAACAGCCAAGATAGAAAGAATAGCTCTGTCTCGCACACAAGTCTAAAAAGAAGGAAAAGTATATGGCTTTAATTTATATGAAAATTTAATCATGAAATAATGCTTTTTTGCTGTTAAAGACAAGGTCTTGCTCTGTCACCCAGGCTGGAGTCCAGTAACACAATCAAAGCTTACCGTAACCTTTCGCTTCTGGGCTCTAGCAATCCTTCCAACTCGGACAGCAATCCTTCCAACTCAGTCTCCGAGTAGCCAGGACTACAGGTGTGCATCACACCAGGCTAATTTTTTTATTTTTGTTTTGTGTAGATACAAGGCCCTGCTATGTTATCCAGGTTGGTCTGGAACTCCTGGCCTCAAGCCATCCTCCCACTTTGGCCTCCCAAAGTGCTGGAATTACAGGTATGAGCCAAAATAATACATTTTATATGTCTGAACCACAATTAAAATTAACTTCCTCTCATATTATTTTGTTAATTTCTGTCATTCCAAAGAAGAAAACAAAATTAACAAAGAAATATAACTCTTAAATTATGGAGCATGGCATATTTGAAACTCGGACTTGGGGGGGGGACCAAGGGCAACATACGTAACCTAAACATCTGTACCCCCATAATATGCTGAAATAAAAGAAAAAAAATTTATGGAGCATGTTTAGCTCAATCTAAAATTATTTAGGCATAACCCTGCATTTTCTCATCTTTTCCAGTAATATAAGCAGATGTCATTATCTGAAGTTCTAGGCAGTGTCTGTCAAATAATATCTCTCAATTTGCAAAATCACCCAAGTCTGTAAGTAAGGTCCTGATTGACTTTTTCATAAAATTTAATTAACTTTAAAACATACTTCACTTCTGCACCTCTCTTCCTTAACTTTTCAGCTGACCAAAGCTAGATAACTCTTCCTTTGAGAGTTATCTCAAACTCTCTTCCCTGGAGGCAATAAGAAACCATTGGAAACTTGGAAAGTGCCTTAATTTTTTTTTTTTTCTTTTTGGGACAGAGTCTCGCTCTGTTGCCCGGGCTAGAGTGAGTGCCGTGGCGTCAGCCTAGCTCACAGCAACCTCAAACTCCTGGGCTTAAGCGATCCTTCTGCCTAAGCCTCCCAAGTAGCTGGGACTACAGGCATGCGCCACCATGCCTGGCTAATTTTGTCTACATGTATTTTTAGTTGTCCAGATAATTTCTTTCTATTTTTAGTAGAGACGGGGTCTCGCTCTTGTTCAGAGCTGGTCTCAAACTCCTGACCTCAAGTGATCCTCCCGCCTCGGCCTCCCAGAGTTCTAGGATTACAGGCGTGAGCCACCACGCCCGGCCAGTGCCTTAATTTTTTAGGGGAGAAAAAAGGTTAAACAACTTTTTTTTCCTGAGTATTCTTTGCATGGATATTAAAGTTCTATTCTAAGAAAACAATTTACCTAATGTTACATAGTAATAGACTAGAATTTCTCAATACTCTAATTTAAATATTTTAAGAAACATAAGGCCCTGCCATTGCAATTCTCAGAGAGCTTTTAATCCATTTATTTCCTCCCAGGCCCAAACTAAGACTCAAAAGAATGGTATTTGACCTTTTCCTAAAAAATAATCAAACACTGGTTTTGATGGCTGTACATCCTGACAATCATCAATTTTCTCTGCATGTTGCCAGTTTTGCTTCGGCCCGGTCAGCATGCTATAGCTGGAGATACTCACTAATACTGGAATATAACTAGAGCTTCTCAACCTAAATGATACCAAATACTGATTTTAAAAATAAACCTCAGGCAAACAATAACAAGGACAGGAAGAACCTGTCCTGTTGTGGAGCCACAGCAATTGACAACAAAAAGAGGCTGGTCTGAAGGCAGTGAGTTATTGCCCTTGATTGTTCACAGTTCCCCCTTCTCACTACTGCACTTGACTAGTCTTAAAAAGAGAGAGAGAGAGAAAGAGAGAGAGAGAGAGAGAGGAAATTTCTCCCCCTGGAAGAGAAAAAAAGGTGCCAAAAATTTGTCTCCTGGAGCCAAAGGGTTGGGAGACACAAGTGTAGACCACAATTCAGATTTACTTCTTTCCAGATATAATAAATTTCTGTTAAAATAAAAGAGTTACTGTGCAATTTTACAGTTACTGTACTTGCTGTTTATATTTCTTGGGTACATGCTCTACAAAAGCAGGGACTCCATTCTAAGACTCTTCTTACCACACTCCTACTTCCTCCACACACTATTTTCTACCCTACTGCTAGTTCTATTCATTTTCTACTTCTGCTACCCAATGGCAAAAAGAGGAGAGACTTCTCTTTCAAAGACTGTGAGTAGCTCGAACCTATCACAAAGACAGAAGGCAGATGAAAATAAATGTTCATGCTCTGTTTCTTTATGTTATCAACTGATTTTTTTAAATTGTTAAAGAATATAAAATTAGCATGTTTTTCTGAGAACAAAGTATATGTAAGACTTTCTTTTAAAGAACTTTTTAAATTCTATTGACAACAAGAACAGACATCTATAAGCCATGCTATCACATGCTTGAACCACATTATCCTCTTTTCTAGGGGAAGGCTGATGTGTACTCTACTTCTACCCTCTTCACTGAACCAGAACACACAGAATTTACCAGAGAAGCAGGGATTTGAGAGCACAGAAAACATGCAGCACAAGACAAGTCAGTGCCATATCACTAAGTTGTCTTGGCACAGGCTGAAAGCCTAACAGTCCAGTCGCAGTAATCACCCCTTCCAGGCACCAGGCTTATCTGCTAGCTCTCAGTGACTAAGTTGATGACTTCTCTTAGTAGCTCACTTTGACTTTCCAGCCTCCAACCCAGAATTGAGTTACTCTCTTCTCTAGAGAACTAAGGGCCTTCCTGCTGTTCTCCAAGCCCATGCTTTTTCATCTAGTTGAAACTGATATCTTGATGCTCACATAATTCACAAATTGGCCTAGCAAGCTCTTGCAGTGGAAAATCTCTTGGCTCACACCTGTAATCCTAGCACTGTGGGAGGCCAACGTGGGAGGATCCCTTAAGGTCAGGAGTTTGAGACCAGCCTGAGCAAGAGTGAGTCCCCATCTCTACTAAAAATAGAAAAATTAGCCAGGTGTCGTGGCACACACCTATAGTCCCAGCTACTCGGGAGGCTGAGGCAGGGGGACTGCTTGAGCCCAGGAGTTTGAAGTTGCTGTGAGCTAAGCTGACACCATGGCACTCTTAACCCAGGCGACAGAGCAAGACTCTGTCTCAAAAAAAAAAAATGAAGTATTCCCTGGTCAATAAATACAAATCTCATCTAAAAAAAAAAAAAAAATCTCTGACATTTCTCCTATCTCACATTCATTATCAATCCATGAGTTTTATACTTCTCCCCACATCCATCTATCATGGATCTCAAAGGCTTTCTGACAGGATAGTCTTGCCTTATAGAGTTTTTTGTTGTTGGTTTTGTTTTGTTTTGTTTTGTTCACAACCTCCCTCTCAGCTAAGCTCCCCTTAATCAATGGATTGAATGTGCCAATGCGAAGCTTTTCTAGCACATCACCCAGCCTTTACAGGTGCGCTGACACACAGCCATAAACTTGTGCTAAAACGCAGTCTCTATTCTGAAAGGGATCACATTTTTTGTCTCCAGCATACTATAATAGATTCAAAATATAAGTCCAGGACTGTTAGGATAAAACTAAGACAGACTGTAACTTCACTTCCATTCCTTATCCACCCCCATCCAAAAGTACTCCAGGGGCAAGATCATAGCTCTCTTCATTGTTAAAATCTCCCACTCACTCAGTCACATAGCTTGCCCATAATTATAAAGTAGAACTAAATTCCACCTACTTTGTTTAAATGGTACTCATTTTGTATTCTTTTAATATAGGTAATTCTTTCACATTTCAAACACTAAATGTACTTCTCATTTCTTTATTCATTATTTCTACTCATAACACTCTTGAGGGTACGTGATCTCATGTTAGTTTTTACCTGATGGTGTTGTTTTAATCCAAAACGTAACCTGAATATTTCATTTACAAGTGAGCAGTCTCCACTAAGGTTGGCGGCTCGAACCTACCACAAAGACAGAAGGCAAATGAAAGGTAAAGAAATGCTCATGCTCTATGTATCTCTACAATATAAACCATTTTTTTTAAAATTGGAAAAGAATATAAAATTAGCATGTTTTTCTGAGAACAGAGTATTTGTAAGACTTCTTAAAGAATTTTTTAAACTTTATTGACAACAGAGCAGATATCCCTAAGCCATACTAGACGATGTCAAATACACTGGAGGGATGCGGAAAAGTTCAGTCACCTACCAAAAGAGAATTTTCTAAACTTTACACTATAGCTTTACTGACAGAACTGATTTCTATAGAACCAAAAGTCAAAGAGTTGGACCTCAGGGTTAAAGTCCACACTCTCTACAAGATACAAACACTTCTAGAAATTACCAAAAAGATTTCAAGAAAGCATTTTTGAAACAAACTGAGTTTCAGTGTGAGCTTAAAACTGAATGCATCAATATCTAAGACAGTTTGAGCATATGACTCTCCCAGTCCAAGCCCAAATATCTCTTGGAACTTCCCTCAAAACTATGGAAGTTCATGACCTTCTTCCAGGGCCTTGATTGTCCTATAAAAAATTAAGTGGCACAAAGCACAAAGAATCAAGAACATTCCAAACTGATCATGCTATGAGCATGACAGCCTGAAGTTAGGACATATTTTCTATAATTTACTATACTTTCAAAGTAAAAATTTTCTAATTTGCTATATTTTAATAGATGAGAAAGTCTTAGAACTACCCACATAGACCCTATGGCCAACCAGGCCACATTTTCGCTAATTCACTGCAAACAGAATGGACTACTTCTTGTTACTTCTGCAATAACATGACCTCATTCCTCTGAGGAGTTCAAGGTACTTAACACACTTTAACTAGCTAACAGGCATTCATTGTCATAGCACCCAAGAGAGAAACCTATTTAAAAACTCAGGTTTCAGTCTACTCTCCAAATAATATGAATTATAATTAGATGCCATGGGGCCACTTATTAATTTCAAGGGAAAGAGAAAACAATCTAAGTTATAAAGTATAAGCTTGAGATTTATAGTCATTTTTTAATTTCTCATTACATTGCACTCTTCAATTAATGAAATACAAGTATGAAATACATATGACTCTCTAGGAGCATATATACGTATACTTCTGAGAGCAATCCAGAGGATTTAGTAGTAACTATCTTTTTGTGTCATATTTTTGAGACTAGATGTTTTACTCTAGGGCAAGCAAGGAACTTCACCAATGGAAGGCAGCACAGCAAACAAGTCACAAACTCTGGTAGTAATTCTGCCTCTGCCACTTACTAACTTCAGAAACTAAACAACTGCCTCACTTTAGATATATATAAAATGGAGACAATAATAGTATCTACCTCAGTAGGTTGTTGTGAAGATTACATAAGAATCCATACAAACAGAACAGTGTTTGACACATAGCCTTTAGTAAATGTTAATTATTATTTTTTTATTTTATATAATTTATTCCATAGGAAAAATTAATAGTTTATCATTACTAAACTCAGTCATCACTATTATTAGGACTTAAAGGTGATATTTAAGACAATTCTAAATAGATACTTAAAATTTCTCTAGTTACATCTCAAAAAGTTATATTCAATATTAGTTAAAAACAGAAATTCAAGATTAAGGTAGAACTATGATAGTAAGAAAAGGAGTAAGTTTAAATAAATTACACTTGAATAAAATGTTCAAACACAGAGTGTTTTAGGGAAAAATTTATTGTCTTCTACAGTAAAACTCACCTCTGAACAGGCCAAATGTCTGACGTTAGTGAACCAGTCGACGTGAGCACGACAATGGTCAAATGCATGAATGAGCTCATGGGTGACCACTCTGTTCATATGGGCCTGATTACGGATATTATTCTGGCACAAAACTATCTAGGAGGCACCAAAATAAGAGAAGTTCAGTGATTTCTAAAATCTACTTTCATTTCGTAGATCCCATCTTTCTCCCACAAGCTTACCTGCCTGGAATGCCTCCACCCACTCTTCTCCATCAACCCCACCTCACCCATCAGCCAAGTCCCACTCCTAACTGCCCATGCTCCGTAGCCTTCCCCAGTGACTAACTTCTCTCTTCTCTCTCTGGACTACAACAGCACTTAGATTAAGGACATTTATTCATGCATCATCCTCATTGGGCTGACCACACCCATCTGTCTCAGACTCCACTGCATTATGTATGGTTAAGAGCATGGGCTTTGGAATGAAGAGGACAGATTCAAATTCCAGCTCCAGCCCTTACTAACTTGGTGACCTTGGGCAAGTTTCTTAACCTCTCTGTTCCTCAGTTTCCTCAACTATAAAAAGGAGATAATTAGAGTACCTACCTCATAGAACTGTGAGAATTAAACGAGAATATACGTAAAATACTTCTTATCAAGTTTCTGAATGAGCAATGAATGAACAATGAATGACCACCACTGTCCTCATTCTACTACAATGAGGGAAAATGCCAAGAAAAATCCTCAGAAAGACCTTCAGAAAGAAGTGCAAAAAGCCAACGGCACACTGAGCAGGACCCTATAAGAATAAGAAAGACATGAGGGATCCTAATAGTAACAGCTGCCATTTATTGTGTACTTACTACGTGCCAGACACTGGGATACATGCCAGACATTTTATATACATTCATTCCGCATTCATTTACTCAACTAATATCTATGGAGACCTAATAGAAGATTTATAATCTACTAATGGAGATAGAAATTATCAAATATTTATCAAAATATTAAATACAGGAAATGACAGTTGTCATGAAGAAAAACCCAGGTTGTCATGAGCATATACAATGAGAATGCCTGACCTGGTCTGGATGGTGGGGAAAGGCTTCTCTGTGGAAGGAACATTTAAACTGGGATCTAATAGATGAACAGGAGTTAAATTTGCAGTGAGGAGAAGGGAATATTCTAGGCACAGAGAACAACATGCACAAAGAGTAGGGGGAGGGTTGAAGGAATAGAATGTCTGAGAAGCTGAAAGCAGAGCCACAGAGCTGAAGCACAGACTTGGGGGTGGTAGGCAACAGATATAGCCAGTGAGGTCGGCAGGGCCATTGACCAAAACCAGATGCAAGGAAACTAGATGCAAACTAATGAAGTATTCTAGGCAGAAGACAATGGTACACAGGCTAGAATGGTGGGAGCTGAAAGAGGGATTCAAGAGGTAAATTGGGCAAAATTTGGTAGTAGATAGAATATGGGGAAGGAATCAGAGGTATCAAGGATGATCCATATATTTCTGGCTTGGGTAATAGGATAGATGGTAGTACCATCCACTGAGATATACAAAACTAAAGACCAAGTTGGGTGGATATGGGGCATGGTAAAAATCATGAATTTGGTCTTGGACGTGTGAGGTCTAAAGTGCTTTTAAGACATTTTAAGTAGAAGTATTAAGTGGGCACTTGGATATATGGAACGTGGAGTTCCAAAGAGAGTTCGAACCTTGGAAAGGTAATGAGATCCTCTTGGCAGAGTACAGGGTAAAAAAAGAAGGGGATCTAACACCAAGGATTGAGGGACTTTAACATTTAAGGACTGGTAGAGGAAGCTAAGCTAGCAAAAGAGCAACCAGAAGTGTGTTGTGTACTAGAAACCAGGGAAAGAAAGTGTTTAGCATTACCAGCTAAAGTTAAGTGTATGCTGGTCTCAATTCCATGTTTGCTGAAGGAAAAAAAAAAGTGTATGCATACTATATGACCCAGAAATTCTGCTCCTAGGCTTATATCTTGGAGAAACTATTACAAATGTGCACCAGTAGAGAAGGTCAAGAATATTCGTAGCAGCATTGTTCATAATAACAAAGTTAGAAACAATCAATATTAGTTAGGGTACTATAAACAAACAATGGAATACTGCACAACAGTGAAACTAAATAAACCGGAGAGGTACATACAACAACATAAAAGAATCTCACAAATAATGTTGAACAGAAGAATTAAGTTACAGAAGACTACCTACTATACAGTTTCATAATACTACAAAGTATTGCATGTAACTCAGTAGTCCATGTATAAAGCTCAAAAGCAGGCAACTAAATAACACATTGTTGGACTGTATATGTAGATAGTGAGACTATTCAGAGAAGCAGGGAATAATCACTACAAAAGTCAGGATAAAGAAGAGAGAGGAAGTGACTCGAGAGGGGCACACAGGTTTCTGAAGTCCTGGTAATATTCTATTTAAAAAATTCAAATGGCAGTTACACAGGTATTCACTTCAGCATTATTACTGAAGGTGTACCTATATGTTTTTTACTCCTCTGTATGAATGAGATACTTCACAATAAAAATTTTAATTTAAAAAAATAAAAGGAGAGAGTACCCAACTATGTTCAACACTACTGAGAACTAAAATCAAAGTTTAAGATGTCCACTCTATTTAACACCAGGGGTTGGGGAAGGGGGTAAATTTACCAAGAGCCACTTTGAGAGCTCACAGTGTTAGTATTGTGATTAACAACTTACAAATGAGGAAACTGAGAATAAAAAAAATAACTTGCCCAAGTCCCATAGCTAATAAGCAGGGGAACTAGGATTTGAATTATAATCTCTCTGACTCTAAAACCCAGACCTCTCATCCCTATACTATACTGCCATTTCCCATGAATATTATGAAAAACTTATGAATAACCAAAATACATATAAAATTCTCCAGCAGGAAACAGTTAAGTGTAAATATGGGTTATATATTCAAATTGGAAATAATTACTAATACTTACAACACCTTCATCTACCCTCATCACATGACCTAATCCATCTACCATCTCCAAGACTCTGTCAAAACCCCCAATGACTTAAAACTAATAATAAAATTTATTAAATGCTTACTATGAGCCAGGCACTAAGATAAGCAACTTTAGAAGAGACATCTCATTTAATTCTCATCATCACTCTATAAGATAGATATAATCATTACCCAAATTTCACAGATTTTACTCACTCCCCTAATCTAAAATTTTCACAGGTTATATCACTTCTCACCATGTAAAAGTGGAAACCTTTATTTAGCATTCAAAGCCTCCCGCCATATGGCTTCCTTTCTTTCCAATTCTATTTCCCTTAAATCCCCAGGTGCTCATGCCCTCCAGCTAAACTGGACAACATGCCATTCCCAGACATGCCCTGGTTTCCCAGCTGCCACTTTTGCTCATAGTATCCCTGCTCTGACCCTGAGGAGGCTTTATATCCTCTAGCTGAATCTGTTGGCATCTTTTAATCAATCACAACACTGTCTCATTGTGGTAACCAAGCCCTCCTAAAAAAGTTTAGCCTGCCTCAAATTTTATTATTTGTGTTAATGTCTCATCTCCCCTGTGAGAATGCAAACTCCTTAAGAGTAAGGACCTAATTTGTTTTTTAAAGTTCTACATAAAGTCTACCAAATAGAATGTCCAGTATATGGAAGGTGCTCAGCAAATATCACGAGAGAAGATTAAAGGAAAAGTAACAATTTGGCAAAAATGCCTACCTGAGATGTTGAAGCATCAAAACCTCCACTGACATTTCCATTACAATCTTCACACGAAAAGTGTCTGTCTTTGTTAACAGCACTAAAAGGCAAGAATAAAAATCAGCATACATAGATGAGTATTAAAAAAAGAAGAAGAAGAAGAGTAGATTAAAGAAGAGACAATGTCCAGAAGCAGTGTGTATGTGGGAAACAGCCCTGGGCCAGGAGTCAGGAGATCCTCTACCATATATATAGTAAATCCCCTCCACCGCTAACATATATGAACCCTGGGAAAGCAACTTAATACCTTCAGGACTCAGTTCTCTCATCTATAAAATAAGGGGATTATCTCTACAAAATTGAATCCTAATTCAAATCCTATGATATGCTTCCATAAAGCATTTGGTCAACTGATTAATACCCTATTAGAAATATGTTGGAGTTCCTGCCCTTGGGCCAGGTCAAGAAGTGGACATCAGACCTCACTTCCCTTAATCCCCTCAAAGTTATATAACATCTGGAAGGCTCCTACATAACAAGCTGAGATTTTTTCTCCATTAAAAACAATGCCCAGGCTGGTGTAGAAGAAAGGCCAGGTTTGAATTACTTACAAGAAAGATTTTGAGTATTGTCTTTACTAAAGTCCCAAGGTGAATGGTACAGCCAGAAATTGAGTTAGGGTTAAAAGATGTCCAAAGAGAACAAGGCCTGCCTGGAAAGAATGCAGCCAATCCCCACCATGTAGCCTACAGAAAAGGCTTTGTGACCGGAAGTGAGAAATCTTAAGCAGGTCCAGTTTGGGGGTTTTTGTTTTTAGCATCCAGAATATAAAGCAGCATTTCAGAAAGATTTACTTACCAACCCGAGTGTTTCATAGCATCAAGTAGAAGTTTGACATATGGATCTAGAAAGATATTGATTCAATTAAAGGAAAAGGCAGCAGCAATTAAATTACCCAAATAGCAGCAAATTATCAAAAAATAAATCAGAATGAAGTAATACTACCTTAAAATTGGTAAAAACAGACATGAAAAGAAAAGCTTAAATTAATATTCAAGTAAGTCTTAACTGAAACAAAACACAAATACAAATACCAGGATGGTACCACCCAAGCACCTGCAACAATATCAAATATGCTTTTAAAGGTCATTTTTAGTTAAATGATCAAATACATTGTATTACAGTGGATATCAAAAGACTGAGGGAATTTTGGGCCACATTCCTACAAATGAACAACAGCACAGTATCCAGATTTGAGGAAGGCAGTGGCCACACTGTTCTCTGTCCTGGTCAGACCACACTGAAATCACCATGTCCCGTGCTGAGTACCTACCTCACTCGAAATGGGACCTGCCACTGAAAGCCCTTCCACAGGGGATGGTGACTAGAATAGTGCAGGACTATGTTCAGTAAAAAGCAAGAAAGGACTTGGGGACCTGGAAAGGAGAAGGAAGACTTAACCAGGACCACAGTACTTTCGAGTATTGAAGGGGTGCCATGTGGGAATAGATTCAGTCAGTATTTCTTCAAAGGGCAGAACAAGGACCAAAAGAGTGGAAATTCCATGTGGCAGATTTCAACATAGTATGAGAAAGGATTTTTCCAGCAATTAAAATTGTTGAAACAATAGAGTAGTCTCAAAGGACAGGTAACCTGTTCCAGGAGCAGTCTATGGACTATCTGGTCATTGATGGCACTGAGGTTTTCCTGTATGGGGACAGGGACGCCTGGATGATTTCTGATAGCCTTTGCACTTCTAAGACTCTATGAGCCTCTGACTATTCCAGGAAAGCACAATGAACCCAATTGCCTCTCATACCAACTTTTCACAAAGGCATCTTGTCTGAGAATATAAATGGACAGAGATTATATGACATAACCCAAAAAACAGAAAAAGAAAAGAAACCAAAGTTTAAAAAAAAACATTAAAAGCAAAAACAGGTGAGTAAAACAAAAGTAGTGTGATATGAGAAAGTTAGATATAGGTTACTGCTTTACTGACCCACACTCTCTTAAGAGTGTAAACAGTAGAATAATTATTATTAAAAATAAGCATTATTAATTGAGTGTAACCAGGTGTCAGGCACCATATTCAGTGCATCATGGTTCACACAATTAAGAGAATTTTACAAAGTTGATATAGCTTCAAAAGTCCATAGTCTCCTTACTTAAAAAAACAAAAAATGCAAGTAGCACAGTGGTTTGTCTTCAAAAAGGACCTGCAGCAGTATTTAGAATAAATTTGCTTTTAAGAAAAATAAAAGGTCTCTCATGAGGCCAGATTTCTTCCATCACCCCCCGCCCAGGGATAGGATTTTAAAGTTTCAAGTTGATGCTTTAATACCACCAACAGGCCCTCCCCTTGGAAGGCTGAGGCCGGCTGACTCCTACAGGGGCTAATATTCAGCACCCTATCGTCCTCACATCCCACCTATTCAACTGTCCTCCACTGTGTGGCTCCACGGTAAAAACAGCTACCCTTTATTCAGCTCCTGATACGCCGGCACTTTACAGTCATAAAAGCTATTCCTCACAACATCCCTAAGAGAGGTATCTTTATCCCTTTCTCCCCTTTTTTATAGATAAGGATAGAGGAGATCAGGAAGATTAAATCACTCTTCCACACCTAATAAAGAAAGGGAACCAGCATCTGAACTCACATCTAACTCTGCAACCCACGTTCCTTCTGCCATATTCCACTTTGAAACATCTTAAAGCAGAGTCCTAACTCATCTTTGTATTTCCCCCCACCAGAATCTAGGAGGCATTCAATACATATTTATACAGTCAATACAATGTCATCATTCTCCTGCCCTTTACCCTCTATTCCTCTTCCTCCTCCCAACCCCCATGAGTCTCAACATGCAGGTAATCCCAAAAAGGTTGGAAAATCTTGGGTGGTTGACTTTTGGACTGTGACTGGCCAGCCATGAAATAGAAAACTTGCTTTGGGACAAGTTCATTTAAGTCTTTGATTTTCTAAATGCATATGAAATAAACTTAGGAAGTCTATGTAAACGTAAAGGAGTTAAGAAATCTTTTCTAGTGCAATGTCCCTGGGACTGGAGAGAATTGGGTATTTGTGTCCCTATTTAACCCACAGCAGTGGTTCTTAACCTTTTTGATGTCATTGGTCTCTTTGAGAATATGATGAAGCTATGCACACTCTCTCCCCAGAAAAATGCACTTAGACACAAACACACATACAATTTCACAGACCTTTTCTGGGATTTTTACACTCTGAAGCCCATTTATGCATGAAGGTTAATACCCACTTTCAATGAAGGGTAAGGTCTGCAAAACTATTGCTTTTGCACTGGCAGAATATACCGCCTTAATTCACGTGGCTCTTTAAAACTCTACCTCACCCTTATCCTAAAGTCACAGCGTTACTGCAAAACTTACATAAGAAATCAGAGGATCTGCCAGAGCAGTGAGTGTGACCAAAAAGGGCAAACTCCTAGCCTGACTCCTCTTTCAGTCCTCAAGCAAGAGAGTGCTGAAAGGGGCCTCAACGCCTCCTCTAATGGGGAAACTGAGGCCCAAGCCCCCAATCCCGCCCCCATGATGCCTAGAGTCTGCACGGAAGCGCCGGAACGAGACCCGTGCAGCCCTGGGGATGAACCTGCAGCCCCCCAGCTGAGTGGTGCCCAGGCCCTTCCCCGCCCACCCGGTCTCAGACACCACCCAGCTGACGACCCCCAGTCTCCAGGTCACGGCTCCTACTTGTCTCCAGCGTCTTTAGCAGCATGAGCTGGCACTTCTGGTTGTGGGTGAGGAAGCTGAAGAGGAACCCCTGCTGGGGCTTCGCCTGGGCCAGCCGCTCGGGGAAGACCTGACAAGGGACGTGTTGCTGCGGCAGCTGCTCCCCCGCCGCGGGGCCCGGCCTGGGCTCGTCCGGAACTCCCGCCATGCCGCCCGCAGACCTCGCCGCCGTTTCCTCCCGGCTCGGGTGGCCGGGGTGAGGCTGGGAAGGGTAACCTCCCTCGGGCCAACCCGACTGCCCAGGCCCTCCCTCCGCCGAGCTGACAGGCAGAAGGGCTGCACAGAGACGTTGGGCCAGAAGGGGCTCTGAGCCTGGCGAGGTAGGCCGGGCGGGGCGAGGTGAGGGAGAGGCACCGTGGCCAGAGACGCGGGGCGGAGCGAGGGGCGAAGCGAGGGGTGAGGGGTGAGGGGCGGGGCGATGGTCGAGGGGCGGGGCGAGGGCGGGGAGAAAAGAGAGGGGCGGGGTGAGAGAAGCGCGGTTTTGTGGGGATGCTGGTCGGCGTGCCGGCTGGTGGAGCTGGACCTGGCTATTACGTCGCAGGCGACACCTGTGCTGCTGTGAACGTCTCTGCTGCCCCTCGGCGTGAGTGGCCGGGCCCCATAAGCGTCGTTCCCGCAGCCTCCTGCTGCCTGCTTAGCTGCTAACGGTGTCCCGCCTTCTTGTGGACACTCCCTCACCTCCTGGCCAATACTAGCCACTAAGTACGCTCCTGACACTGAAGGTCTCTACCACCCTCCCACTCCCTGCCTTTCCCACTGGCCCACCACTTTCCTGACCCCTTCTGTCCCTCTGATCCACTCTACCCAAGGATGCCCCAGGCCATATTGAAAGCAGTGTTTTTCAGAAACCTTTGAAAACTAATTATAAAGAATGACTGTCACATCAAAATCCTTAAAATATAGGACCTAACTACCTTTTTTCTGCCTCATCTGGGCCCGTTCGCCACCCTACTCTCTTGCCACCCCAAATAACTCTCTGATAGCAACACGCACCTTGTTTACTTCTACCTCCAAGCCCTAATTCATACTGTTACTTCCATCTTTAACCCCCTTTCCTCAGTCCCTATGATTGGGACCCATGTCAAATCTACCTACTCCACAGAGTATTCCCAGATACCTTAATCAAAATTAATGTCTCCTGATCTCCCAATGTACAAAGTACTTTGTACCTGTTATCACTTTCATCACAGCCTGCCAGGCTTTATGTAATTTGTGTTTCTCTTTTCCCACTATTTTTTTTTTTTTTTTTTT